GCTCAGCTCCACTCCGCGCCCCACCCTCCCCCGCCCCGATGCCAACAGAGAGATGCGGCGCCCGGCGCAGGCACTGACGCCTCCATACTCTGTGAAAAATGGTCGTCGGGATGACGATCCGATTCGATTAAATCGAAACAGCAGACACGACACGAGGCCCGCGCCTCGAGCGTGGGTCGGGGCGAGCAGGGGTGGGTGGGCACCGCCGGGGAGGAACGTTCCGAAGTATTTGTGGATGTGACGTCCAGATACAGCGAAGGTTTCAAGAAAAATGGTCACTTGGAATGATGGCGTTGGTGGCAATTTTCTGGGAGGAAGGGGGAGGAGGATTAAAATCGAACCGGATATCGAGAACACGAACACGCTACAATGCCATCTACGCCGTGTCCGGGGCGCTCCTGGGGCGGGGGCAGCCGTGTGCGAGGGTCTGCGGGTCTGCGACAGATTTTTAATTACGCAGTTTGCGCTCCACGGGCCCGGCCCGCGGGGAACACGAATCGCACATATGGCACGCAAAAGTGGTTGTAAAATACGAGTTTACAAGCTCCAAAAAGCGCAGATACGCATTGACAAAGTGCGGGGCACAGAGTGAGCAGGACAGCCACATAGAGCCCGACCCTACGGGCACGACGGCCACGCCTCAAAACTCGAAATGAGACTCTGTCTGCAGCGCGGCCGCCAGCCTCCATACCAGCCACGGCCGCGCCGTCCGCGAGCAGCAGCCAGCCCGAGCGGGCAGCCGAGCAATCAATCATCTTATATCATCGCACACACGCGTTTCCTCTCGTCACGACCAGACCTCCCTTCCCGCCGCGCTGGCCGTGACGGTTTCATTGTGCAGCGCAAACACCGGACGAAACCCCCCAAAGAACAAAGTCCTCTTTTGGTATTCATTCGGCCCCTGGCCGCCGCCGGCCACAAGGACGCTCCCCGCGGCCCCACTGCACCGCCGCTACACTGTCCGAGAAAGTAATCATCATCATCGTATGGTTTACGGGTCTAAATAACGGCAATCATCGGACCGACCCGTCGTCCCGCTCTTTTGCACATCAAAAGAGAACCAAGCCCACCCAACAAAAATCTCGGGAAAATATCTGCTCTGTATTTATTTTTATTTCGTTTTAGCTTTGGCTGCAGCGAAATTAAAACCGACGAGGGCGTGGCTGGCGCGGCGGGTAGGGGAGAGAGGCGCGGCGGTCAGTGTCGGCGTAGGGGGTAAGGGCGGCTGTTTGTTTGACGTACGCAGAACGACACTAAAAGGGCCGCTCTCTTTTTCCCGCACTGCATACGCTACGCATGTGTGTGCTCGAATTTATGTAAATTTCTGAACACAAATAAGACAAAAATAAAAACTCTGTTAAAAGAGAGGTCTAAGTTGGCTACGGGGGGTGGGTATGCTCTATCCCATAAGGCGGCCGCGCGCCCGAGGGGTTGATAAGGACGCGTTGGGCCCCGCATAGCGCGTTCATATATTATTCACCGGCAGATTCACAATGAGGCCTTTCTCGGGGCGAGACACCCCCCCCCCTCCCCTCCCCTCCTCCTCTCTCCGCCAACCCTTTCTCACTACCCCGGCACGCTCTTGTACGTATTCCTAAAGCCGCTGCCGAGTGTACTTTGCCTGATATAGCGGCGTAAAGAATATTTCCTCTACAGCGAGGAAATATTGTGGATTCATTTCCTAACCCACACACATTTACGGCACAAAGAATTCTTACAGTACTTGGCTATGGAAATAAGTGGGAATACACAGACTACGACGTCAAAATTGATACATAACCTACAAAACGCATATGTACATGAAGTAAAATTATCTGGGAATTCATAGAATCGGCCTAATCTATTCCGTATACATACGTTTACAATATCCAAGGGCTTACCTGGCCAGATCGCGCTGGAGGGCGGCGAGCCTCGCCTTGCACTGCTCCGCCTCGGCCGCAGAGTCCAGCCGAAGGTACCTCTCGCGGTCAACATCTCGCCGCACCGCCTCCCGCTGAAAATCGAAAAGAAAAGAAAAACACACATTAAGAGGTGGAAACGTAACAAATGCAACAACAACTTGCACATACAACTGGATCAAAAACACTTTGGGCCAACTCAGAGAACGTTGCGGTTTGTCAGAGTCAAGTCAAGTCATACACTTATAAAAGAGGCGGCACACCCTAACTTGATTTGTGTCTTTTATTAGTACGAATTTAAGCACTCAAATTTTTTGCATATATTTCGGCGCTGATCTGAACATTTTTGTGCATTCATTTGTTGAAAATCGTGCACTTTGGCGTACAAATTTGTGCAAAACAAAACGTAGGTTTAACTTAGTGCGAACGTTCACTGTCCCTCCAATGGCAATGAAAGTACTACCTTTTGTGGCAATGACCATGCAATGGCAATAAGACAAAAGTAAGACCTTTCCAGCGGCAATGATGGTTCATTG